TTAATAGTTGCTATTGAACTACAAATTAGACCTTATTCCTCATGGGAACGATACTCTTAACTCACATATTTTATTGTTTGTACAACGATCCCGTACGCTTGCGGGTTTCACGCGAACAAGTTTTTGGTGCCATTGCCGAGGAATAACTGTATTAATTTTAGTTATTGATATTTTAGATTCATTTTTTTTATTATTTTATTTTTATTTTTATTGCTTTTAGGCTAACATTACATTGCTTAATTCTCTCAAAATCCTTGCGAGCCTTATCTAATTTCCATAGATCACGAAATTGAAAGGACATTCAGAAATCGGAGAAGTGAACAACGTCAAGGGAGGAGAATGGCTGAACAACAAAATCAACCACATAATCAAGTTCAGGTTCAGGATCAAGTACTGCAGCCAGATCAACAGATAGCTATCCAAAATGAAGCTCATATTTTAGTTGGGGATTATGTAAATCCAATTCCTGTGCTAGTGCAACCCGCTATAATATATCTACCCTTCGGACACCCCAACTTTCACCTTAGACCGGATGTCATAAATCTCTTTCAAAATCATTAAGACATCCAATTTTTTGGGAAAGCCATGGAGAACCCTCATGAACGTATTTCAGCTTTTCTCATGTTGTGTGAAGTTACAGTCACGAAGGGATATCAACGAACGCTTTTCGAATGCGATTATTTTCCCATACCTTGAAGGACGTGGCAAGAGAATGGTTCCTCTGTTTACCTCTAAGGAGCATCCAATCATGGAACGATATGGTTAAAAAATTCACCATGAAGTTTTTCCCGCCTCTTCGAGTTCACCAAATCAGGACTAAAATTCATAATTTCAAGCAGAAAGACTTCGAGAGTTATCCTAAAACATGGGAGAAGTTCAAGAGTTTGTTTAGAAAATGCCCTAACTTGGACATTCCGAAGCAGGCTAAACAATATCTCTTCTATAACGGACTACACCAGGAGTTCAGAAATATGATAGATGTTTTGGCAGGAGGATCAGTGATGAAACTTGACGTCGATGATGCATATGAACTATATGAAAAGATAGATGAGAATCAATCGATGTGGCCAACTGATAGGGAAGCTCCAAGTAAAACAGCAGGGGTGCACAACCTAGATGCAATGACAACATTGGCAGCACAAATGGAGGTTCTTACAAAGAAGATGGATAATCTATCTCACTCGGTCAACATGGTACACCAATCACCATCTGTATGCGAAGGTTGTGGAGCAGACCACGCTACTGTACGCTGCCCTTTAGCATCTACACAGGTTTCGTAGCCTGAAGAGATTAGCTACGCACAGAACTTCCCAAGGCAACAAAACAATCCCTACTCCAACACTTATAACTCGGGTTGGAGAAACCATCCGAACTTTTCATGGTCTAACAATCAGGAGCACGGACATGGACAAGGAGGAAACAATCAGAACAAGCTACCAGGGTTCCAATATCATCAACAACAAGAGAAGAAACCGTCATTGGAAGATCTGCTATCTCAGTTCATCACAAAGACTGAGACCAATTTTCAGAACCAACAGGCCTCAATTAAGAACTTGGAACTGCAGGTGGGACAGATTGCAGCCGCACTATCAGGTAGAACTCAAGGGACTCTGCCGAGTAATACTGAGACAAATCCTAAGGAACATGTCAAAGCGATCACGATACGTAGTGGGGTTCAGCTACCAGAAATACATGTAAAGCGGCCACCACCAGTCATAGAAAAGGTACCCACCTCGGGCGATGAGCAAGTGGGGGAGTCAGACAAGGTCACAGAAGAAATTCAAGTTGAGTCATCAGATAATCCACGAGTGAAGGTACCTACTCCTGTCAAAGCATATGTACCTCCGATCCCGTTTCCACAACGACTGTAGAAACACAAGCTAGACAAGCAATACCAGAAATTTTTGGATGTTTTCAAAAAGCTACACATTAATATACCGTTCGCTGGAACTTTAGCTCAGATGCCCAGTTACGCTAAGTTCATGAAATACATTTTATCAAATAAGAGGAAGTTGGAGGACAATGAGACGGTCATACTTATGAGGAGTGCATCGCAATTATCCAACAGAAGTTACCACCGAAGTTAAAAGATTCAGGGAGTTTTACTATTCCTTGCAACATTGGTAAGTTATATATAGATAAAGCATTATGTGACTTAGGAGCCAACATTAATTTAATGCCTTTATCTCTTTTCAAGAAATTAGGTTTGGGGGATGCAAAAGCTACTATAGTTTCATTGCAGTTGGCTGACAGATCGATCAAGTACCTTGGGGGCATTTGTGAGAACATTTTGGTGAAGGTCGATAAGTTTAGTTTTCCAGCAGATTTTATTATCCTGGATATGGAAGAGGATAGGGACGTTTCGCTCATTTTAGGTCGTCCATTTTTTGCTACGGGAAAAGCTCTGATTGATGTGCAAAAAGGTCTGTTGATCTTGAGGTTAGATGAGGACGAACTAAAAATCAACATATTCAGGGCCTTCAAATTTCAAAACGAACCAGATTCTTGCATGACGATTGATGTAATCTAAGAAGCAGTGGAAGAGACATTCATACTTGATAAGCCTCAAGATCCCCTTGAGGCTTGTTTGGTGCATTCTCAGGATTTACCATCAAAAAGGGAAGAGGCAGGAGGATGTGCACGTTATTTGGTAGGTGTACCACCACTTTTCAAGCAACCACGTTTAGAGCTCGGTAAGGGCCCCCCAACACCTTTACCATCTATACAGCAAGCTCCAACCCTTGAACTCAAACAGCTACCCGTTCACATTCGATATGCATACTTAGGGGAGAAGAGTTCACTTCCAGTGATTATCTCGAATAATCTTATAGAGTCAGAGGAAGATCAGTTGTTGAGAGTACTACGGGATCACAAAACTGCAATAGGTTGGACTATTTCAAATATAAAAGGGATCATCCCTTCTCTTTACATGCACAAGATACTGATGGAGGATGACTACAAAGCTTCGATTGAGTATCAACGCAGATTAAATCCAACCATATAGGAAGTAGTAAGAAAAGAAATAATAAAGCTTTTGGATGTAGGGATTATTTATCCGATATCAATTAGCCATTGGGTCAGTCCAGTACAGGTCGTGCCGAAAAAAGGGGGATCGCAGTGGTTCCAAATGAAAATAATAAGCTCATTTCTACACGCACAGTCACAGGTTGGAGAGTTTGCATTGACTATCGCAAACTCAACGGCGCAATGAGGAATGATCACTTTTCCCTTCCTTTCATTG